AAACTAGGCCATGTCAGCAGCTGATTAATAATCCACACACACATATGGAGATGAACAGAGAAAACGAATCACTGATGGATCCTGTCGTGTTTCTGAGGCCACTTGTTGCCAGCGGTGGCTCAAGCTGGGGAGGCAACCAGGTAGACAGCGAGGCGACTTGAGGATCAAATCATTAATGCTTGCAGCAACACAAGGACAAAGCATCAAAGCATTAGAACCTGTGGCTGCAGTTGTAACAGCACTCAAGTGTTTGGCAGACAACTAACATGCATTTAATTATGATTAATGATTTATTTTGTTCCAGTTTCTTTCATGACAACAAAACAAAAAAAAATTTAACCTTTATGATGAATACAAAATTATTTATTAGGATAGGAAACAATAAATTTATGCATTTATAAATTAATGCATATATTCAGAAACTGAAATTATCACAAATCTCTTGTCAACTGTCAAAGTTTTTCTTTTCCTTTTTGCACAGACTTATAATCTCCTGTCCCATTAGCAGTGTCCCGTCTTCATGTTTCTGCACAGTCCTGATTTGTCTATTGAACAACAATAACTGTAATATTATCCACTGCAGAGCTAATTAATCACTGAATGTCCACAGCTGCACATGCACATTTTAAGAAACGCAATGATTCACATCTGATCCTACAGCAAAGTGCTACTAAAAAGTGGCAACAGCACTCCAAGTCTGAGCAACCTTCCTGCCACCGCTGTAAGAAAAGCTACAGTGACCATGTTGTTTGCAAAGTTCTGACCTTTTCCATTCCAAAGACCCCCAAAACCTTTGTAGAACCGTTCCCTATCCGATCCAAGAACACCACACGGCATGTTTGTGTTTAAGGCTATTTATAGCACACCACCTCCAGCCTGGGAAATTAACATTTCGTTTTGAAACCTTAGAGCATCGCCCTGGACCCAGAGGATAATCTTACATGACAGCTTACGGAGGGTGCAAGCGCAGAGAAGCAACAGGGTTGGTACTGGAGGAGCGACTAAAGAAACGAGGGAGCGCTACTCTTACTGCCAGGGGTGCAAGAAATACATTGGAGAAGGGTCAACAGTGAAATGAAAATTATATAGAGTTAATTAAAACATTTCCAAACCCCATCTTTTGCTACCTTAAAAATAAAATATGCAATGAAAAAAAAAACATGTTTTTTCTAACCTGGCCATGAATCCAACATCATCAAAGCACACATGAAGCTGGGTAGTGAATGACCATCTTCTAGAACAGACATTTTACCCTCCATTAAAGTGCTTAATTGGTTAAAGGATCCATACGAGCAGAACCACTGCAGAGATAATTGATTTCTAATGGTGTAATGATGGAAAGGAGACCCTCTCCAGGGAGGTATCAGTGAGAGTCCAAGAGCCATGCTAAAACCTCAATAGCCCACCACACCCTCCCACTGTTTTCCATTGACATCATCCTCCTAAAAAGCATCCAAACAAAAGTGTTGACCAGCAACTGAGAAATGACYATTCTGACTCTTTGAGTCGGATGTAAACTAGAAGGAAAGAGAAGTCTGTAAATTCAAGAATCTCTCTCTCTCTCATATATATATATATA